ATTTTCCTGCATCCTCTTCTGTTCGCCCTACTTATCATGCATCATCTTCAATAGTTGGTACTACTAAAGTAGGAAGAGGTAGAGGCATGGAAAACACATCTCTAGAGAAAAGACCAAGAGTCTTGGGAATGAGTCTGTTCGAAGATGCAAATGGCTTCAAAGTCATGAATGTGAGTCTTTGATATGTTAAAACCTTAAAAATTGAATTATAATCCTAATTTTGTTTAATTTAACAACTTAAATATTGATATAATTCTAATTTTACTATATCTTTTCATGCCAAGTATTAAGATCTACTCTACCGGACAAGCAAAAAAGACAAGATCATATGATGTAACTGGTGACATTGATTATATACTAAGTAATACAACTAAGCTGAAATGGAATGGTAAAACAACAATCTTAACAATTAAGCTTTATGAGCTTAGAGAGAAGTAAAGAAAAAAGACAATGGGAAGTAGTTCAAGTTAAAACGAAACTTCTCACAGTCAAATATGCTATGAAAATTATAGTGATGTTGGTATATATAAGAACTTTTAAGTTAGTCCATACATGTTGCATTAATTGACCTACTATTTTGGATTTTTTTTATTGGTAAATTTTGCCTTATGTATGGAATTATGAATATGACTTTATTTTGGTAATTCTATCTTATGTGAGCCTTTATTTTGGTAAATTATGTGAGGCGTTATTTTGATAAATTCTGCCTTATGTGAGGCCTTATGAATGAATGGTGATTTTGTGTTTTATAATGTTAATGTGTTGTCTATCGAATTGTATTGGCTACTCAGGTGTGCTTACATATGTTTTGTTGGTTATGTTTTTTAGAAATGGTGTTGTGTTGTCTATGTTGAAGTTTGAATGAATGACTAGGTTGTTGGTTATTGATGAAGTGTTGCATATTAATAGAAGCTTCAATTGACATCATAGATACATAATAACACACCTACATTGGAAATTTTTATTAAACAACAACAATATAAATCAAAGAGAAGTCCAAATATACAACACCTAAACTATTGTTGCTGATAAACATAGTAACAAATCAAAATACACAAAAGTATCTTCATATTGAACCTAGACCATTTCAATCGTCTATTGAGTCTCCTCTCCAATAACAAATTGAGGTTCCTAAAGTTGTTAATATGAACCCGTCTAATACGTAATTCTTTCTCCAACTCATTGATTTTTGTTCACCAATCTTGGAAGGATAAAACTTGATCTTCAATCCACTTCTTTTTTGTCCCTCCATCAAAAAAGTTTGCAATTTTTTGATTGAAATTATCCATAATAGTACATTGCATCGTTCAAAATAAAGTATAGCAAGAATACAAGAAAAAATACATACACTATAGCATGGGAAAGACCAAAATCTTCTTCCCCGATTTAATTTCGACCAAGAAGTTTGCAAATTCAGCAAAATTTCGTGTTTGCATCTCACTACAGCATTGAGCATTGAGTCTCATTCATCCATACATAGCTTAATCATGTTTTCATTTGAATTTTTTTGATGAATTTTAAGAAAATTCAAAATCTAATTATAGACCTAAATAAGAAAATATAACATATTACAAACCCTATATTAAAGATTTGAAGTAGAGATGAACTTTTACAACTGAAACCTACTTAATTTTGAGAGCCAATCGTGATTTTTTTACAAAACGAACAAGAAATATTGGTGGGGAAGAAGAAATAAAAGGTTATTTAAAGTTGGGGAAGATGACAGTTGTAGAAGAAATGTTTCGTCAATTTTTTGCTTCTAATGCACCTAAAGGCAGTAACAACACCTCCAATGACAGGTCAACACTTAGGTATGTAGAAATTAGAGCAATATAAAGTTCAAGTGGGTAATAGAATACTCGTAAAGTTGGAGTGTGTTGTTGGAATTCCAGGGATAGGTTTGAAGGGGGGGGGGGGGTAAGATCATTTTCTCTAAGTAAAATAAAGATGAAGAACTTAATTTGGCTATGTGGGCATCTATTCTAACACTTAAATAGGAGGATCTTTACCATCTAATTTAAAACTAATAATGCAGAATTAAGGAGATACATGATACTTCACCTTAATAAAATAAAAGAATCAATGTCAACCTTAATTACAACAAAAAGCTTTTTTGCACATACGATGGAAAACCCTTTCTAATAACTAGTTTAAAAGGTACAAGAGTTTCCAAGAGAATTTAAATATTAAAATAAGACATAATTCCCATCATAAGGAATAGAGGATTAGAAGTTGTTGTGGAACACCATCATCTTCATCTCTGAAAAATCGATAATTCTGCAACCAGACTATACTAAGTAACACAACAAGAGCAGTATCAGTGCAAACAACATGTATCAGTAGGCTTAATAAGTTGACCCGAATCCATCCCATAATATCATGGAAATAATTAGAAGAAACATAAAACTTGAAGCTATACAACTTTGATCTTTCAACAACTTTTACTACTAGTAGGTATACTAGCTATCTCTGAACTCATACATTCTATCTCAGCCCTCCCTATCTCATTCCACTGCCAACTTCATCGGTAGGAATCATTCCACCCTCCTATCTATCCTAATATATTCCCCTTGTCACATGCATGCTTCCTGAGCTTACCCGTCCTACCAAACACTGGAATTATATTCTAATTCTTAATTCAAATATACCAACTATCCTTGTTAATCAATATGTGAACTCACTTAAGATCCCATGCCACTAACCCTGACCTTTGGCCCTTTAGCCAACTTAGGTGGACTCCTCCAAATTTTTACGTATCCACTTGGACTCAACCCGAATTCAATGCACTCTTTAACAAAGTCGAACCACCAAAAGGATCTCTAAAACATCATATATAATGCTTAATTGACATGCAATCCCGATTATACAAGAACCACTCCACCAAATTAACAAAATAATTCGACTACTCACAAACCAACACACACAAGCACATCAAAACATATCTACATTCATCTATGATAGAGCTTGTATTAGGTGTCGTATCCGAGCAAATTATAATTGAATCTGTATTCAACATACATTGTTTACATGTTGTGATATTTGAGTCAATCGAAAGCCAAAAACATCTAAATAATCACAACCACAACTGAAACAACTAACACTTAGCATGTAAAATAAACATTTATTTAAGAAAAATCATTAGATGAAAATAACAACGAATATACCTAACATTCATTCGCTTATCTCCTAGAACATGAACTTTACAAGCAATACTAGTTAAACTGTTAATATGAACAAATAACATAAATTGAAAAACAATTTAAAAATCACCTACACCAACTACGGTCCATTATCCTAGTTTACATGACCCTTCTTAGATAGATTCCGACTCGTTTAGTTAGCTCATTGATACAAAAAGCTCAATGTTGGACCTATTAAAAAGTACACATCCTTCTTCTGAAATCCCTTTCTATCATTTATAACTAGGCTGGAAGTCTGTTTTGACCACGTAATCCATTCACTTAATCATTATATGTATCATGAACCCACCTCAAATTCGATTTCTCAAAGACTGAAAACCTTAGGATAAACAACCACTATTACTCATAGCATCGACATCATCTACCCCAATACTTTTCCACCACAAATAGAAATAACCAACACATTTTATCAATCTACACTCGCTGTCTAGAAGCCTAATTTTGATATCTTCTAGAATTCTACAAAATATTGTGTATTCAGAAGTAAATTTAATCAGTATTTTAAAAGGAGAGGGCATGAGGCGAGGCGTTTTATAAAGTATGGGGCGAGGCGTAAGCGTCGTGACACAGAGCGTAAGTCCCATGGATCTACGGGGCGTAGTCACATGTATAATCAATTTTATAGTTTTATTACTAATAAAATAAGTAAAAGTAAACTTTTCAATGAATTATGATTTTTATGTGAGATAAGAATTAATATTCAACAATAAACAAAAAATGATTAAAATTATTATTTGAGAAATATCAGTAATCGATAACAAAAATATGATTTAAAGCAAAAAAAAAAATTAAAAAAAAAGTAAAAAACGCCCTAGTGTACGTTTTTACACCCACAACTTACGTTTTTATGTTCAGGGCTTACACCTAAAATTTTAGGACTTATGCCTTATGGATCTACGTTTTTAATTTACGCCCAGAGCGTTTTTGGTACGCTTCGTCCCGAAACTCACCCTGGGATTTGCCCCAAAAATGTTTTTGAAAACACTGATTCTAACTACTAAGTTAAGCTAGCCTACTTGGGTGCCGAGAATCTACTTTGGGAGTTTGAACACAGATTTTTGGTTTACCACAATAAAATGAATGTTAATGACCTGTTGGATTATTCGAGTGAAAGTGATACATGTTCACAATGAAACATTTTTGAGGTGATATATATTCATTGTGGATACTATGTAAAAAATAATGTTGAGGATGAAGTTGAAGATGATACTATACCCTTGGAACTAGTTACGCATAAGGAAACACTTATCGCATCTTAAACTCTTCACAAATGTATGGTGCAGTTCGAAAAGACAACATTGGGGCTCTTGGATGCAATAAGAAAAGTAAGAGATCGATGAGCTTCAACTAGATTTAAATTTTAACAAAAAAACACACAATATAATCATATTTCACTAAATTATCATAGATATATTTCACTATTTAAATACAACGTTTAGCGAAAAACTATATTCCATCACTATATAGCGACGGATTTGTGACGAAATTATCATTTTGTTGCAAAATTAAATTTTTTTATTTATTTATAATATAGAGATAAATTTGCAACGAAATATTTAATTCGTCGCTAAATATTAGCGCCCTAATTTTCCCTATGAATTTAGCAACAAAATAACGGAGACAAATTAAATTAATATTTTGCGAAAGAACTAGCGACATAAAAAAGGTCGCTTATATATATATATATATATATATATATATATATATATATATATATATATATATAATATTTTCTAGATATATATATTTATTTAAAAGTGACGGATGTTATAATCCGTCACTAATTTTTGTTGCAATTTTTTAAAAGTGATTCTTAGGGCACAAAATATTTACACTCACACTCACTCTTTTCAGAGATGAAGCTCAAAAACTCCAATCCTCCATCTCTAAAACCCATCTCGAAGCTGGTAACACTCGAAGCTTGCAAGCAAGTTTCCATCTCGTAGCTCTGAAGCAAGTCCCCATCAAGAAAGGTAAGCGCTCAAACTCCATTTTCAATTTCAAAGCTTCAGTTTCCATAAATGGATATGTTGGTTCATATATCAAGGGGAATCAATTTCCCAAGTTGGGTTTAGCAAGAACCAGTTATAAAATCAAAACCCTTGCTCCAATTTACAGTATTTCCACACGATTTTGATGACTTTCAACTCTTTCTCTCTGAAAAAAGGAACCCCCACTAGGAATTTCATTCAAAATTTTGCATTAGGATATCAAATTAACTCGATATACCATTGTTTTTTAGTTTCAATTCCACATACTATCGTTTTCCAGTTGCAAAATATGAAGCCTAAATAGAAATCGTTTCACTCGACCACTAAAAATAGAGATTTTAGTAGTTTGGGTGTTAAGAAAATATGACATTCTAAAGATGAACTCTTTCCATTTTGTTTAGCTTGAAGTAAGATTGAATATTCTGAAAATGAGGAAGAGGAAGAGTTTGAAGAAGACATAAATAATGACTAGTGTTTGATAATCTACTATTGTATTTTCAATGTATTTTGTTTGTTTCTGATTTTTTATTTAGGACAATGTTCTTTAATTTCTTCTTTTAAATATGTGTATTCTATATCTTATTAAATCTTAATTAAATCTACTAATTGGAGCTTTAATAATTGTTATACATACTAGTTAACTATGCATTTATTAGAATTACTTACAGTTAATATAGAGGATTCCTTATTAGAATTACTTATAGTTATTTACAGATTTTGATAAGTGTTTCACTCTACTTTCTTTTACTGTAATAGTTCTCATTATTATGGACAATGTCTAATTCTATTTAGTAATAGTCATGATCTAACAACAATATATATGTTATATTTGTTTACATATATAGCTCGAGGTAGAGGTCATGGCAAATCCTCAAGTAGGAGTACTCCTGCTATTCGTTATAGTATGCCAACTGTTTCCATGTCCACTATAGTTTCTCCTCAACAAGGTGGTACCCCAACCATTGTAACAATCAACTCAAAGTATCAGTCCAACCATTTCTGAGGCACATCCAACTACACAAAATCAAAATAACCTATATGTTAGGGTCTGTCTACTCAAAACAACCCAACAGATTAATATGAACCCGTCTAATACGTAATTCTTGCTCCAACTTATTGATTTTTGTTCACCAATCTTGGAAGGATAAAACTTGATCTTGAATCCACTTCTTTTTTGTCCCTCCATCAAAAAAGTATGCAATTTTTAGGTTGAAAATTATCCATAATAGTACATTGCATCGTTCAAAATAAAGTATAGCAAGAATACAAGAAAAAATACATACACTATAGCATGGGAAAGACCAAAATCTTCTTCCCCGATTTAATTTCGACTAAGAAGTTTGCAGATACAGCAAAATTTCGTGTTTGTATCTCACTACAGCATTGAGCATTGGGTCTGATTCATCCATACAAAGCTTAATCATGTTTTCATTTGACTTTTTTGATGAATTTTAAGAAAATTCAAAATCTAATTAGAGACCTAAATAAGAAAATAGAGCATATTACAAACCCTATATTCAAGATTTGAAGTAGAGATGAACTTTTACAACTGAAACCTACTTAATTTTGAGAGGAAATCGTGAATTTTTTACAAAACGAACAAGAATTAGTGGTGGGGAAGAAGAAATAATAGGTTATTTAAAGTTGGGGAAGATGACAGTTGGAGAAGAAATGTTTCGTCAAATTTTTGCTTCTAATGCACCTAGAGGCAGTGACAACACCTCCAATAACAGGTCAACACTTAGGTGTGTAGAAATTAGAGCAATATAAAATTCAAGTGGGTAATAGAATACTCGTGAAGTTGGAGTGTGTTGTTGGAATTTCGGATATTGGTTTGGGGGGGGGAGAGAGATGTTAGATCATTTTCTCTAAGTAAATTAAAGATGAAGAACTTAATTTGGTTTTGTGGGCATCTATTCTAACACCTAAATAGGAGTATCTTTACCATCTAATTTAAAACTGATAATGCAGAATTAAGGAGAAACATGATATTTCACCTTTTAATATTTTAAAAGAATCAATGTCAACCTTAATTACAACAAAAAGCTTTTTTGCACATACGATGAAAAACCCTGTCTAATAACTAATCTAAGAGGTACAAGAGTTTCCAAAAGAATACAAATATTAAAACAAGACATAATTCCCATCATAAGGAATAGAGGATTAGAATTTGTTGTGGAATACCATCATCTTCATCTCTGAAAAATCGATGATTCTTCAACCAGACTATACTAAGTAACACAACAAGAGCAGTATCAGTGCAAACAACATGTATTAGTAGGCTTAATAGTTGACCTAAATCCACCCCATAATATCATGAAAATAATTAAAAGAAACATAAAACTTGAAGCTATACAACTCTGATCTTTCAACAACTTTTACTACTAGTAGGTATACTAGCTATCTTTGAACTCATACATTCTATCTCAGGCCTCCCTATCTCATTCCACTGCCAACTTCATCGGTAGGAATCATTCCACCCTCCTATCTGTCCTAATATATTCTATTCCCCTTGTCACATGCATGCTTCTTGAGCTTACCAATCCTGCCAAACACTAGAATTATATTCTAATTTTTAATTCAAATATACCAACTATCCTTGTTAATCAATATGTCACCTCACTTAAGATCCCATGCCACCAACCCTGACCTTTGGCCCTTAGCCAATTTAGTTGGACTCCTCCAAATTTTTACGTATCCACTTGGACTCAACCCAAATTCAATGCACTCTTTAAGAAAGCCGAACCACCCAAGGATCTCTAAAACACCATCTATGGTGCTTAATTGACATGCAATCCCGATTATACAAGAACCACTCCACCAAATTAACAAAATAATTCGACTACTCACAAACCAACACACACAAGCACATCAAAACTATATAAATTCATCTATGATAGAGCTTGTATTAGGTATCGTATCCGAGCAAATTATAATAGAATCTGTATTCGACATACATTGTTTACATTGTGGTATTTTAGTCAATCGAAAGTCAAAAACATCTAAATAATCACAACCACAAATGAAACAACTAACACTTAGCACGTAAAATAAACAATTATTTAAGAAAAATCATTAGATGAAAATAACAACGAATATCCCTAACATTCATTCCCTTATCTCCTAGAACATGAACTTTACAAGCAATACTAGTTAAACTGTTAATATGAACACATAACATAAATTGAAAAACAATTTAACAATAACCTACACCAACTATGGTCCATTATCCTAGCTTGCATGACCCTTCTTAGATAGATTCCGACTCGATTAGTTAGCTCATTCATACAAAAAGCTCAATGTTGGATCTATTAAAAAGTACACATCCTTCTTCTGAAATCCCTTTCTATCATTTATAACTAGGCTAGAAGTCTGTTTTGACCACGTAATCCATTCACTTAATCATTATATGTATCATGAACCCACCTCAAATTCGATTTTTCAAAGACTGAAAACCTTAGGATAAACACCCACTATTACTCATAGCATCGACATCATCTACCCTAATACTTTTCCACAACAAATAAAAATAACCAACACATTTTATCCATCTACTCTCGCTGTCTAAAAGCCTAATCTTGAAATCTTCTAGAATTCTACAAATATTGTGTATTCAGAAGTAAATTTAACCAGTGTTTTATAAGGCGAGGGCGTGAGGCGATGCGTTTTATAAAGTATGGGGCGAGGCGTAAGAGTCGAGACACGGAGCGTAAGTCCCATGGATCTACGAGGCGTAGTCGCATGTATACTCAATTTTATAGTTTTATTACTAATAAAATAGGCAAAAGTAAACTTTTCAATGAATTACGATTTTTATGTGAGATAAGAATTAATATTCAACAATGAAGAAAAAATGATTAAAATTATTATTTGAGAAGTATCAGTAATCAATAACAAAAATAAGATTTAAAGCAAAAATAAAAATAAAAAAAAGAAGTAAAAAACGCCCTGGTGTACGTTTTTACACCCAGGACTTACGTTTTTATGTTCAGGACCTACACCTCAAATTTTAGGACTTATGCCTTATGGATCTACGTTTTTAATTTACACCCAGAGCGTTTTTGGTACGCCTTGCCCCGAAACTCGCCCTGGGATTCGCCCCCAAAACGTTTTTGAAAACACTGATTCTAACTAATAAGTTAATCTAGCCTACCTAGGTGCCGAGAAGCTACTTTGGGAGTTTGAACACAGATTTTTGGTTTACCACAATAAAATGAATGTTAATGACTTGTTGGATTATACGAGTGAAAGTGATACATGTTCAAAGTGATATATATTCATTGAAAATACTATGTAAAAAATAATGTTGAGGATGAAGTTGAAGATGATACTATACCCTTGGAACTAGTTACACATAAGGAAGCACTTATCGCATCTTGAACTCTTCACAAATGTATGGTGCAGTTCAAAAAGACAACATTGGAGCTCTTGGATGCAATAAGAAAAGTTAGAGATCGATGAACTTCAACTAGATTTAAATTTTAAGAAAAAACAAAATACAATATAATCATATTTCACTAAATTATCATAGATATATTTCACTACTAAAAAATAACTTTTAGCAATAAACTATATTCCATCACTATATAACGACGGATTTGTGACGGAATTATCATTTTATTGCAAAATTAACAATTGATTTTTTGATTTATAATATAGCGATGAATTTGCAACGGAATATTTAACTCATCGCTAAATATTAGCACGAAATTTTGGCGCCTAATTATCCCTATGAATTTAGAAACAAAATAAGGGTGACAAATTAAATTAATTTTTTGCGACAAAACTAGCGACATAAAAAAGGTCGCTAAACTTATATATATATATTTGTAAAATTTATATTATACAGTGACGAAAATATCTGTCAATATAATTTTTTCTAGATATATATATTTATTTGAAAGTGACGGATGTTATAATCTGTCACTAATTTTTGTTGCAATTTTTTAAAAGTGATACATAGGGCACAAAATATTTACACTCACTCACACTTTTCAGAGATGAAGCTCAGAAACTCCAATCCTCCATCTCTAAAACTCCATCTCGAAGCTGGTAACACTCGAAGCTTGCAAGCGAGTTTCCATCTCGAAGATTTGAAGCAAGTCTCCATCAAGAAAGGTAAGCGCTCAAACTCCATTTTCAATTTCAAAGCTTCAGTTTCCCTAAATGGATTTGTTGGTTCAATTATCAAGGGGAATCAATTTCCCAAGTTGGGTTTAGAAAGAACCAGTTGTAAAATCAAAACCCTTGCTCCAATTTACAGTATTTCCACACGATTTTGATGACTTTCAACTCTTTCTCTCGGAAAAAAAGGAACCCCCACTAGGAATTTCGTTCAAAATTTTGCATTAGGATATCAAATTACCATTGTTTTTAGTTTCAACTCCACATACTATCGTTTTCCAGTTGCAAAATATGAAGCCTAAATAGAAATCGTTTCACTCGACCACTAAAAATAGAGATTTTAGTAGTTTGGGTGTTAAGAAAATATGATATTCTAAAGATGTACTCTTTCCATTTTGTTTAGCTTGAAGTAAGATTGAATGTTCTGAAAATGAGGAAGAGGAAGAGTTTGAAGAAGACATAAATAATGACTAGTGTTTGATAATCTGCTATTTTATTTTCAATGTATTTTGTTTGTTTCTGATTTTTTATTTAGGACAATGTTCTTTAATTTCTTCTTTTAAATATGTGTATTCTATATCTTATTTTAACTCTTAATTAAATCTACTAATTGGAGCTTTAATAATTGTTATACATACTAGTTTACTATGCATTTATTAGAATTACTTACAGTTAATATAGAGGATTCCTTATAAGAATTACTTATAGTTATTTACTGATTTTAATAAGTGTTTCACTCTACTTTCTTTTACTGTAATAGTTCTCATTATTATGGACAATGTCTTATTCTATTTTGTAATAGTCATGATCTAACAACAATATATAGTTAAATTTGTTTACATATATGGCTCGAGGTAGAGGTCATGGCAAATCCTCAAGTAGGAGTACTCCTGCTATTCGTTATAGCATGCCAACTGTTTTCATGTCCACTATAGTTTCTCCTCAACAACGTAGTACCCCAACCATTGTAACAATCAACTCAAAGTATCAGTCCAATCATTTCTGAGGTATCTCCAACTACACAAAATCAAAATAACCTATATGTTAGGGTCTGTCTACTCAAAGCAACCCAACAGATTATACCAACACAGTTGTTGCTATACCAAATCAGAGTAATGTAATAGGTCAGGATATATCTTCTCATATTAACCCAACAGATCATACCAGCACATTTGCTGATAACCAAATCAGAGTAACGTAATAGGTCAGGGTTTGTCTCCTCTGAGTTACCCAACAAATAATACCAACAAAACTGCTGAAGGTAAATCTAGTAATAGCCATAAACATACCCTTGCCTTTATAACTCATGTAGAGTTAGTCCATTCTTTTGCTTTTATTCTTGTAACTTATTTCTACTTACCCTTGTCTTTCTACTTAGGCTTCTTCACTAATTTTCTAACAAAGAAATATTGTTTCTAATATTATATTATTTCTCCACCTTAAGTTGACTCTTAAGTGTATTTGTACCTATTTTTAAAGTGTATTTGTATTCCATTTTACTTTACATGCTTGGACCATACTGATTTTGAAGGAATTGGTTAAGCGTCAAAGCTGGAAGCTCAAAATGCAACATAATTTACTGATGTCCTTCATCGTTAAGTGTCTACAGACGGTATTTACAGCAGCTTCAGTTTACTACCTACTGTAAATGAAAATTTTATACTCAATCTATAGGTGTACATATAGGATTTTTGTCAAGAGTCGTGGTGACATGCTGAGAATTATTTTGTGTTGCTTATGTTGGAATGTTTATGAACTCAATCTATATGAACAACAAATATTTATTATGTGTTGCTTCTTTTAGAATTAACTGATCTTTCTTTACTATAGTAAGAAACTATGAAAGAGATTGGTGTGAATTTCATTTAATATTCAGGGTTCTAGCATGTAGCCTTTGCTATTGATTGTTTTGCTGCCTCGAATACTCTCAATATACACATCAAGTTGCAGGCTATTTGTTGTTACTGAGTCATTGTAATACCATCTTCTCATTGCAATACCACATGCTCTTAGTACATCCATTTATGTATCCGTAAAATTTTATTCTTAGTCACGTGATGCATCTGCTAGGTGCCTAGCTTATTAATTTTCTGAACATTAGAACTGCTGCGCAAAATTCTCAAGTGATGCATTTGTCAAATTTGCAGATTTTTCAAGTAAAAAATTTGCAGTCAAGGCATATTATAAGATGTGTGTACTCTTTTTTCTTCACTAGGCTTTTTCCCACAGGATTTTTCCTAATAAGGTTTTAACGAGACAATTATCTATGGAAATCTAAGGGCGAGTGTTATAAATGCATTAATGTGGATGTTATTTGTAACTCACTTCAAAACTCATCTGTAACTATCTTTGAAGTTCATGTACGAAATAAATGAACACTTTAATTCATGTAACTTTGAAGAGATATTTTGTACTATAAATAGCCGATGAATATTTTATTAAAGGATCAATGAAAAAGTACAAAAAAAAAAATAAGAAAGCATTTCCATATATCTTGTCTATATATTTATTGTCGTAGATAATTTTATATTGCGAATATTTTACAACACTATGGCAATTGAATTTAAAATTAACTACAATCTTTAAATTCAAATAGGTGGACTCTAATAATTACTAATGAAAATGTTCAATTAATCATCAAGAACCAAATAATTTTGTGGTATTTGTGTTTTCTTTCCAATTAAAAAACATCATTCTCACTAGATGTTTATACCAAAACTTACCACAATTAAGTGATTTATGAAGTAAAAATCTATAATACTAATTACTCAAGATTACGTGATGGTCGTGCATTATCAAACATATATCATTCATTTATCGGTTTGGACTTAGGTATAATCAGTAGGAGTTTCAATGGTACGTTCTGGAGGGAGTACAAGACGTTGCATGTAAAATCTTACTAATAAATAGCCATTTATGGAAATAGCAACAAGGTTCCTATCAACGTACCTACTATTTTCTAGTTTATAGCACAAACTCTTTCAGATATATTGATTACAATATAGCTAACTTAAACTCTCATTAGATTTGAAATTCAATCTACTGTTAATGTATAAAAATCTTAAAACATGTTCAATCACTAGGTATTAGAGACGAGAAGAATAAAAAGTCAATTGTAACTTTATTTTGGGAGTTAAGCTTAAAAAGTAGGGATTTGGTAAATCCAACATTACATATAGTAAATATATGGAGAAACTTAACATATATAGTTTATTAGATGACAGATATAGCTGCATGATTATACTTGAGAAAATACTAAAAACAACTTGTTCATTGTTACCACTTAATCCTTTCATTAATCACTTTTCAATCCCAATTTAAGCTCCAAATCTAGGCCATTGGGATCTTTGTAATAACCCAATCTAAGCTCCAAATCTAGGCCTTTGGGATCTTTGTAATTACTAAGACTATCTAGTTTGGATTCAAATTCGGAAAACAATATGTCATGATATCCTTCCATATCTTCAATGAAGTGATCAATTATCTTCGATATCATCATAACCTGTCATGGGATAGGCAAGAAAACACGTGAGTCATACAATATATATAAAAAATAATTATATACTATGTTACTCAAACTTTTTAAAAATAATACTGGATTTGTGTTGTTGAATCCTTCAAAAATAGTTCATTTTTGAAGGTTAGGACACAAATTCAGAAATATTTTTAAAGTATCCAAGTAGCATATAGTTAAATAATAGGAAATGAAAACTAACATCTTCTCCAAATTTAGCATATTCATTTAGCAAGTCTTGTAGGATAGCTCGTTGTTGCTCAGGATTGTTGCTAGCAGCACAAAATTGTTGCTTCAAATTCAAACACATTTGAAAATTCTCTGAATACATAATTTTGTTTTTCAAATGCTCAATCTTACTTTGTTCCTCCATGATTTGTTGGGCCTGAAATAAGTATAATTCAATATGACAATTTAATTACAATATATATGTTAATAGTGAAAGATATAATTTTAAAAAATAAAACTGTGACTAAATCATTATTATTGTGATAACATTGATGAGGAGTAGTTTAGCAAAATAATTCATCAATCGTCTCCTTTTGAGACATTTCTCTAGTAAGTGGTCATCTTTTTATTGTGCTAAAAACTTATAGAATTATTTTAGATCATGGTCTAAAGATTTTATTTGAGAGCTAGCAAACCTAAAATCTATTGAAAAACCATTAGACCCTATCTAAAATTTTCTAACTTATTGTAAACATTAGACATAACATAATATTTTGTGTTAATCAACTGTATTTTAGAAACTAATTACACTATAGGGCAATAATATTTTTGATCCCTGAATTATTGTTTTATTATTTGATTTTGGTTCTTGGATTATTTGACTAAGCATATTAAACCTTCAATTAAGTTAAATATGTTTTAAACATGGATTATGATAACTATTTAACATCCATAAGCTTAAAGGAGCAAAATAAAAGATTTCATTTAATTGAAGGTTTAATGTGCATAGCCAAACATAACATAAGGATCAAAATCGAAATAAAGCAGATCAATAATCAAAACATGAATTTAACCAAAAAAAAATAAATTAAAAACTTTGAAGTGTCACGCACATATGTCAAACCCATAACAATTAGCATTTTAAAAGCCTTTGTTATTTTCTAAAAACTTCCATTTGTCCATAAAAGTCAATAATTTGAACATATTATCATAGGAACATTTAACATTTATATGTACACAGCATAAATATATATATTTCAAGTGATCATAAAAAAATTATAATAAAAACCTTGATGTCGTTTCCTTTGTCATAAAACCAAATCTTGACTTGTGTTGCATCAAGCCCTAGATCCTCACTCAATTGATCTATCACATCATTTCCTGGATTTGGATTTTGGCTAAACACCCTAATAAAAAACAAAATGTATGTTACAATGAAGAAATTCAATTACATAAAAAAAAATTAACAACATAAGTTAAGTCACATATCTAAAATATACAGATTTCAACTATCAAAAATAATAATTGCTCATTTTTTGTAGTTAGATGCACAAAAACTTATGATAGACATCATAAAGAACATCATCAATGAGTAAAAATTCAGAAAATATAAAAGGAAAAAAAAAGGCAAAAAATTATATATACAACAAACTCACTCTTCAAGTTTCTCAATTATTTGTTGATAGGAATGTTGAAAAATCGATTTTCCGATGTGTTGACCAGAAGATGACCCAACACATGCATCATTTTGAGAAGTCATAAACGAGAGAAGAATGAAACAAGAGAGAAAATAAAAAGGTGATGAACAAATAAAGTTCATCCTCAATGAAAAAATTTATGTAGAAGAAAACTTGTCCAATCTTGGATTTATAGGGTCTTCGAAATGAAATCATGAATTTTTGTGGAAAAAACATTTAATGAAATAAGATTAAATAGTCTAACATTCATAAATATGGTTGGTCAAAGTCAAAGTTTCTTTTAATGTATATAAAAGTACTTAGCTTATAAGTAAACTGAAGAGCTTAATTTGTTTTGTGTCACAGGCTCAACTATTAGCTCGTGTGAGCACTTATTCTAACACATAGATAGGAGGATTTTTACCACCTAATTTAAACTTGATAACGCAAAAGTAAAAAGAAAAAGATATTTCACCTTAATAAAATAAAAGAACCAATCTCAACCTTAATTACAATAAAAAACATTTTTTGCACATACAACGGAAAACCCTTTCTAAGAGCTAGTCTAAAAGATAAAAGAACTTCTTAAGAATACAAATATTAAATCAAGACACAAATCTCATCATAATTCACCACAAGAAATTGGGCTTTATGCAGCGACAAAAGTCGCCACAAAATTGCCACTGTAAGTGTTTACTGGCGACATTGGAGTTGTGGCAAGTACTTCCATAAACTAAATGCTATTTTTTACGACTTTTTGAGTTGCCACTAAATATAAGTATTAGCGGTGACTTTGTCATCACAAAACATTAACCAATATGCCATAAAAAAGGTTTAACAAAATGGATCTTATAAGGAAGAGAGGAGTAGAAGTTGTTGTGGATCGATCAACATCATCTTCATCTAGGAAACATAGATGATCCTGCAACCAGACTACACCAAATAAGTAAGTAACATAACACTAATAGTATCAATACAAACAACATGTATTAACAGGCATGATTAGTTAATCCGAATTCACCACATAATATCTAGTAAATAATTAGAAGAAACATAAAACTTGTAGCTATACAACCCCGATCTCTAAAACATCATTTATGGTGCTTAATTAACATGCAATCCCGATGATACAAGAACCACTCCAGCATATTAACAAACTAATGCAACCACTCACAGACCAACACACAAGTACATCAAAACATACATATATTCATCCATGATAGAACTTGTATCAGGTGTGGTACCTGAGCAAATCATAATAGAATATGTATTAGGTGTGGTACTCGAGCCAATCGATATACCTTATTTACAAGGTGTGGTACACGAGCCAATTGAAAGTCAAAAACATCAAAATAATCACAACGGCAAATGAAACAATTCACACTTGTAAAATTAACAAGTATTTAAGACCGTTCATCATATAAGAATAACAATGAATATCCATAACATTCCCCTATCTCCAAGAACACGAAATGTACAAGTAATACTAGTTAAACAGTTAACATGAACACAGAACATAAATTGGAAATCAATATATCTATCACCTACACCAACTATGGTCCATAGTCCTAGCTTAAATACCCTCTTAGAGTGATCTACCAAGCGCTACACCAAAAGTACTATAACGTCACAATTCTCACTACAGTGAGATGGCATTAGCCCGAGTCAAATTCAAAAGTTTTCAT